ATTCAATAACGTGGGAGGTAATGTGTCCAATTCTCAGGGACTGGTAGAATCTTTTCTTTATATGATGAAATATGATTTTTATCATATTTGACATGGGTACCGGGATGGAGGCCTGAGGCTGGGTACTTTAAGGGGACTGTGTTATGGACTTCTGAATAACTAACGAGGTAATTAAGAAGCTGTTTTATGCTGGCTTGGTAAATCTAAGTATCAGAATATCCACCAGCTATGGGGTTTGTCTGCCCCATTCTTTGCAGTTCACCCTAATTGAGTGAATCCCAGCGATTTTCTAGGCGCCTCAGAGTTAGACAGTGCAACCCTCACCATCACCCTGCCTACGTTTCTTTGTGAATCCAGCCCAAGGTGTATAATCAGAGCACCATGAGCTACTGCTGTCTTGCTAGGAGAGCAATAATTTACAAAGGTGTTTTCTGTGTAACTTCTGCTGGATTGATAGGGTAGCAACCGTTGTACCACTAATCATTTCTGGATCTACTGAAATATTTCTGCATTGTTACTTGTGAAGTGGAGACAATGTCAAAAAAACTATAGTCCACACATTCAGCTATGGAGGAGTTTTTAAATCACATCTTAATGCATCTTGATACTGTGCTCTATGCAAGGAAAACCTTACGAGTATAGGGTCCTAAAATTGGCACCACAAAAACTATGTTAGCATGTTAGGAGCAAATGGGAGAAGAGGATATTCTTAAAAACAAGAGAAGCATGAAGAGTATGTTCATGCATGAACTTAAAGCAAAAGGGTGTAATTCATATCACAGTACAGGGGTTTATTCCCTTATCAATAAGCAGGAGATTTATGTGGGCAACTCTCTTTAGTGGTAAATGGGCTTACCAATTTTAATCACCCATATCCTAAAAGGGGAAGAAAGTCCCAGAATCTGTAACTTGCCCTTTCTTTTATTTTTGTTGATATCCTGATGGACAGTTTCCACTTTATTTTTCATGTTCAGTTAGTATTTAAAAGATGACTTACAAGAATACCTATATTCTTTAAGGACCTGACATAAAGCCCAGTGAAGTTAGCAGAAAAACTTCTATTGTCTCCAATACGCTTTGGATCATCCCCTAAATCCTGCAGAGTTTAGAAATGTATGCTCACTATCCCAAGCGGGACAAAGAGGTGCATTCAGTATTCCAACAACCTAACATTACCTTGACACTTCCTTTCTCAAGCTTCTCAAAGTCCAGCCACATACAAATTACTGGCTCATGTTTCACATGATAAACAGTCTGCTTTATGCCACTGATGCCACAACCTCCTCAGGTCCCTGCTGCGGACTGGAATGGCCTACATCTATGTATACCTCACAAAGTGTGCTTTTTAAAAGATTAATAAACAGATTTTTAAAACCTATACAAAACCATGCATTTCTGGAGTGAAGTCATTGAAGCTACATTCACTCAAACCAGCTGTTGATCTGGCTCCTAATTACTATAGAAAAGTTCCTGTATGGAACTGTGCATATAATATGGTTAGATTAGTGCAATGGTTCTCAAACTTTTGTACTGGTGACCCCTTGCACACAGCAAGCCTCTGACTGTGACCCCCCTTATAAATTAAAAACAGTTTTTTATTAGGGTTGTCAAGCAATTAAAAAAATCGCAATTCGTCGCACTGTTAAACATAATAGAATACTATTTATTTAAATATTTTGGATGTTTTCTACATTTTCAAATATTTCAATTTCAATTACTACACAGAATACAAAGTGTACAGTGCTCACTTTATATTTATTTTTATTACAAATATTTATACTGTAAAAAACAAACGAAATAGTATTTTTCAATTCACCTAATACAAATGCTGTAGTGCAATCTCATTATCATGAACTTACAAATGTACAATTATGTACGAAACAACTGCTTTAAAAATTAAAACAATGTAAAATTTTAGAGTCTGCAAGTCCACTCAGTCCTACATCTTGTTCAGCCAATCACTCAGACAAATAAGTTTGTTTACATTTGCAGAAGATAATGCTGCCCGCTTCTTGTTTACAAGGTCACCTGAAAGACATTCTCATGGCACCGTTGTAGCCGGCATCACAAGATATTTACCTGCCAGATGTGCTAAAGATTCATATGTTCCTTCATGCTTCAACCACCGTTGCAGGGGACATGTGTCCATGCTGATGACAGGTTCTGCTCGATAACAATCCAAAGTAGTATGGACCGATGCATGTTCATTTTCATTATCCGAGTCAGATGCCACCAGTAGAAGGTTAATTTTCTTTTTTGGTGGTTCGGGTTCTGTAGTTTCCGCACTGGAGTGTTGCTCTTTAAGATTTCTGAAATCATGCTCCACACCTCATCCCTCTCAGATTTTGGAAGATAGTTCAAATTCTTAAACCTTGGGCCAAGTGCTGTAGCTATCTTTAGAAATCTCTTGGTACTTTCTTTGTGCTTTGTTAAATCTGCTGTGAAAGTGTTCTTAAAACGAACATGTGTTGGGTTATCATCCAAGACTGCTATGAACATGAAATATATGGCAGAATGCAGATAAAACAGAGCAGGGGGCATACAATTCTTCCCCAAGGAGTTCAGTCACAAATTTAATTAACACATTTATTTTTTTTAAATGAGCCTCATGAGCATGGAAGCATGTCCTCTGGAATGGTGGCCGAAGCATGAAGGGGCATACAAATGTTTCGCATATCTGGCACATAAATACCTTGCAACGCCGGCTACAAAAGTGCCATGCAAAGGCCTGTTCTCACTTTCTGGTGACATTGTAAATAAGAAACAGGCAGCATTATCTCCTGTAAATGTAAACAAACTTGTTTGTCTTAGCGATTGGCTGAACAAGAAGCAGGACTGAGTGGACTTGTAGGCTCTAAAGTTTTACATTTGTTTTGTTTTTGAGTGCAGTTATGTAACAAAAAAAACCCCAAACAAACTACATTTGTAAGTTGCACTTCCACAACAAAGTGATTGCACTACAGTACTTGTTTGAGGTGAACTGAAAAATACTGTTTCTTTTATTTATCATTTTTACAGTGCAAATATTTGTAATAAAAATAATATACACTTTGGTTTCAGTTACAATATATATGAAAATGTAGAAAAACATCCAAAATATTTAACAAATTTCAATTGGTATTCTATTGTTTAACAGTGCAATTGAGACTGTGATTAATTTTTTTGAGTTAATCATGAGAGTTAACTGCAATTAATCGACAGTCCTATTTTGTATACATTTAACACCATTATAAATGCTGGAGGCAAAGCGGGATTTGGGGTGGAGACTGACCTTTTGTGACCCCCTATGTAATAACCTTGCGACCCCCTGAGAGGTCTTGACCCCCAGTTTGAGAACTCCTGGATTAGTAAATGATAGGGTGCTACATGAAGCAAGAGCCTGCAATAAATGTGGTGTCAGAATAGAGGGGGAAAATAGGATGATTTAATCCCATAAAGTGCTGAATATATCTCTCTTTCTTTGGTTACTTGGGGGAATTCAGCACAGATTGCTGCAGGTGTTGGATCTTTCGAAAACAATTATTTGCAGGTCACCTTTAAGAAACCAGCTAAAAATGAAAGTTTCCTTTCAGAAAAAAAAAAAAAGAAAGAAAAAGAAAAAAAAAAAAAAAAAGACAATATGTGATTAATTATGCTCCTGCTGGGAAGAACTGAAATATTCACTGCAGAAGGTGTGTGACATTTTTAAACCTATGAACGAGAAGATAATAAATGAAATACTGCCAGCTGTAGAAAATAATAATTTACAGTGCAATGAGAAATTGCAGTAACCTGATAATCATCAGTGCTGGGTTATAGCAGAGCCATACTGATGGAGAATTATAGATTTTTTTCCCAATGGTAAATAATAAATCAGATGGCAAGGACAAAGATGGAGTTTAGCCATGTGAAGGGTTTTACATGGCAGAATCACTGTGTGCCTTTTCTGAGTGTGAATGAAAGCCACATAAATCTAATGTTTATTTTCCACTTCAAAAAACAGAGTATAAATCCAAATACAGAGGGCTCTAATATAATTATTTATCACACTTTACCCAAGGCTGTACTGGCATTGCCACTTAAAAGCATTATTTTCAGAGGCAAAACTTGGAGAGTGGTCAGTTTGGATGAGCTATTACCAGCAGGAGAGTGAGTTTGTGTGTGTATGGGGGTGGGGGTGGGGGGATGTGAGAAAACCTGGATTTGTGCTGGAAATGGCCCACCTTAATTATCATGCACATTGTAGGGAGAATGGTCACTTTGGATGAGCTATTACCAGCAGGATAGTGAGTTTGTGTGTGTGGTTTTTGGGAGGGGGGTGAGGGGGTGAGAGAACCTGGATTTGTGCAGGAAATGGCCCAACTTAATTATCATGCACATTGTGTAAAAAGTTGTCACTTTGGATGGGCTATCACCAGCAGGAGAGTGAATTTGTGTGGGGGGGTGGAGGGTGAGAAAACCTGGATTTGTGCTGGAAATGGCCCAACCTGATGATCACTTTAGATAAGCTATTACCAGCAGGACAGTGGGGTGGGAGGAGGTATTGTTTCATATTCTCTGTGTATATATAAAGTCTGCTGCAGTTTCCACGGTATGCATCCGATGAAGTGAGCTGTAGCTCACGAAAGCTCATGCTCAAATAAATTGGTTAGTCTCTAAGGTGCCACAAGTACTCCTTTTCTTTTTGCGAATACAGACTAACACGGCTGTTACTCTGAAACCTGTCATTTGGAAGCTTGAAACTTTTGCAGAGTCTGCATTCCAAACTTCATTCTCCTTCATCCAACAAAGCTCTGCTATTGCAGAAAGCTCAAAAGCTTGTCCCTTCCACCAACAGTAAAAGATATTGCCTCACCCACCTTGTCTCTCTCACTGAGGAAAGCAGTTTTTGTATCCACATATTAGCGCATCAAGACCATGAGAAGAAATGCATGTAGGGGAGAATGTTCTCTCACTCACATCATAGGCTTGCCCTTTCAACTATTGAGCAGGAGAGAAGCCTATGAGGCAGTTTCCCTTACCTGGTTGCAAACATCGCTCTCAAGGATGAGAAGGTTGCTGCATCTTCTTTCAAAGCCTTTAATTCATTTCGCAGTTTGGTCATGGTTTCAGTCACCATTGATTTTTCATTCTCATATTTATTCTTCAGATTGGCCAGTGCCACTTCAGCTGTCTGAAAAAGAGAGAGGGATATATGCTTCTGAGAAGGGAATTTGCTAACAGCTAAGAGGCCAGGTTATGATCTCATTTCTGGCTTCCACCTTCGTTCACAAGTTAATGCACCATGAAACCAGTGATATACCTGAGATACGTTGATGATATTTTCATCCTCTGGACAGACGACCTAAACTCCCTCACAGTTTTCCAGCACAACTTCAACAACCACCACACTCTCTCTAGAACATTCCCACACCAGCATCAACCTCCTGGATACCACAACCTTCAACAATGGAACTCTACAGACAACTAAATCCATGGATCACCACACTTACCTTCGTAGATCCAGAAACCACTCCAAATGCACCATGAAATCTGTTAGCTACTGCCAGGCACTTAGATGCCTCAGAATATGCTCTGAAGAGAAAGTCTAGGATACACACTTAAAACAGCCTTCACGAAACAAGGAGACTGCACCGGAGAAGTAGATCACATCATGGAATGGGCCACCTAAATACCTGAGGAGAAACTGCTTCAATACACCTACAAACCCACACTAGAATCAGGTATCAAACATTTATAATCCATATTTGATGGGGACCACATCCTGAAATTTTTTCTCAACCCCCCTCTTCTGGCCCTAAAACAACTCCACAACCTCACCAAGTTCATCATCACAAGCAAGCTTCCCACAGACCAGGGGACACATCAACTCAAAGTGGCACCAGATCCTGTCAGACCAATAGATGCAAAACCTGGTGAAATATCTCCACTGGTATGATGATCAATACCCCCACAACACACCTTTGAAGACCATGGGTCCTACTCATACCTATCACAATATGTGGTGTACCGCATCCAGTGTGTCAAATGCCCCAACAACAACAAAGTGGGTGAAACCAGACAATCACTATGCTCTCAAATGAATTCACACAGAAAAATAAGACAAGACAAAAACACCACATCACCCCATGGGCAAACACTTTTCACAAACTGATGACTCCATATCTGACCTTTCAGTCCTTGTTCTCAAAGGAAACGTACACTACAATTTCAAAAGACAAGCCTTGGACCTTAAAGTCATAATTGCTGGATAGTAAAAACTATGTACTTAACAGAGAAAGTTGTTTTATGGCTCATTACAACAATTTGTAACACCCTGCTGCCTATTAACCCTCCACTGTCCCACCACTGCAAATATGCCAATTGCTTACTTCACTTTAAATGGTCTCAAGCAACATGTGTGAACCTCTTATGCTTAACCACCTGTCCCACCTTGTATTTTACCTCTGGCATTTTAGTTTCCTTCTCCAGATCTGACGAAGAGCTCTGTGAAGTTCAAAAGCTTATCCCTTCCACCAACAGAGGTTGGACCAATACAAGATATTACCTCACCCACCTTGTCTCTCTCAAGTAAAAAAATGTCAGACTTGAGCTTTAATGCAACACATGCGTTAAAAAAAGTTTAAAAAAAACTATTTTCCCTAGAAAGAGGAAAGCCATGTTGTTAAATGGACATAGTCAACTTAAAAACTATTGGATTCAATAAGCCTGAAATATCAAGACTGTACAAATTAGCAGTTATACTCTGCCATGTCACAAAATGTTATGCCTTCTCATTCTTCTGCAAATTTTACCAACCAACCAGTTGTGTAAATGATAATGTTCACTTAACTGAAAATCTAGGGAAGAAGTTATGAAATTACCCTACTCTATATTCTGCCTATATCTTTCTTTCCCCCCCTGCTCATTTTCTTTCTTGTTTCCTGCTTGACCTACCTAAATTTCATGTTAACTTTGTCTTGTTATTTGCTTGCTGTTGTTTGTCAGTTTTATTCATTACTTTTTTATTTTACAGAAATAAAAAATTTTAAAATTAAGAAAATTACATTTTTGTATTTTTGCAGTGTTACAAGTCTCAGTTAAAATTACTGCAACTGAAATATATTAAGAAATATTTTTTCTTCTAAATTTTTCCAGTATTTTTACTTTGTGCATCTAAGAGCACTTCAGATAGTGTGTAGTCAATTGCTGTGTTTCCACTACAGTCTGTCAGTTCCCCTTGTTGTTTTTGTGGATCTTTCACACATCAACAGGGGAAAGAATAAATAGGAAAAATGTGATTGTAAAACCACAAAAATTGGCATGGGAACATCAGAGGAGAGGGTAATGGCTGTAAAACCTGAAGGTACTTTTAAGCCATCTTTTTGAAACTCACTAGATTTCAAATTCAGTGTCTCTTAAAAAAGGAACAAAAGAATCCTACACTAAAATAAAATTCTATTCATTTGCTTCTGGGGAAGTAGTTTAGTTATAAATTGTGGTACTAAAATACATTATATCAAAATTGTCTCCAAATTACTGCACACCGTGTCTAACTCTTTTCCTACTTCTGATGACTAGTTTCCATAGAAGACAGACCAAGGTTTAAGAAGCCACTATGAAACTACCTGTCATTTTAAATAGGTCATTTTCCTACACCAAACCTGGGGGTCATCGCATGAAACGGTGAGAAAACACTCCGAGATACAGTCATATGAACACAACTCTCATGACTGTTCATGAACGTACATGAAGAGGCAAAGGTATGCTTTGGTATAGTGTTGTACCACTGTGCACTTTGGTAGGCTACAGCAAAGGTCATCTGTTTCCAGACACTGGCAAAAACATTCAGTCAAAATTTACACATAGAAGAGTATTTAACTGTCATTAATAAAATAGTCAGTCACTCTGCTCTTACCCATCTCAGAAAGAAAAGTGACAGAATAATGAACAAGGGGACAACTTCCTATTTAACAATAATTATTAAAACCTGTGTTATTTGTGATAGGGTTATTCATGTTGTTGAGAGGGAAGGGAAAGGACAAGACGTTCACTATGGAGGCTTCAGCTGAGTTCTATTTTGCACATAAACCAGAAATTCAATCTTTGTTTTGTACATGAACTACAGTGTATCCTCCCCAACTTACAGCACTTACTGAGTATAACATGAATTTTCTAAAAATTTACAAGTGAATCCATTAATTAATTTGAATTAAGACTAATTAAAATTTGATCCTTTAAGAAATATAGTATCTGCATCAGTTTTTTCTTTGTCTCAAATGATTTTAAGAAAGGACTAATGCAGTTGCTTCAACTTTTCAGGCAGTTAAAATTAACTGACATTTGTGTATAGGCCATATTTGAAGAGATCAAGTTGTAATTACACTATTAATGACTGTTCTATCTACTTGTTTGGCGGTAGTGGCTCAGTGGTATGAGGGAGACTGGACACATGTCAAGAGTCCTCATCTGCAGATTACTTAACCCAACAGTCAGTGCTGTTTCAAGATGCCACGGCTGCCTTACGGAGGTATTAGTAGTGACTCCATAGTTAAGGCTGAGTTCTCTTTCGAACTTAAAAGCAGGAATCCAAACTTTGCTTTGTACGAACAACGCTGCGTATCCTCCCCAAATTTACCACACTTCTTGTTTGAGCATAGAATGAAACTTCTAAGAGTTTACAAGTAAAGCTGTTGATTTGTTTAGGAATCAAACAGACATAAAGTAATTTAGTATCTGGTGCTAGACTTCACCCTCACCTCACCCACAATCTCAGTAATGAAATAACACACTTCCCATACACATTAACTTCCCATAGAGTTAACACTCTGAGAAAGTGTGTATTTGAATAATTTATTTTTGGATTGATGTTAATTTTTCCTATTCTTCATAACTGAAAGTCTCTCCATCAGAAGCTGAAGAATACAGTGTTGTACTACTGAGAACTCTACAAAGAAAAGCCCTTTTTCAAAATGAACTACAACACTCACCAGTTGGTGGCTATTTTGATGAGGGTCTCTCTCTCTCTCTTTCCCTCATTGTTCACAATGGTACTGAGTATCTCTGCCTCCACACAACACAGGGAACTAACCATCTTCCCATAGGGAATATGGGGCCTTAATCTCATCGAGTACAATGGGAGAAGATTGCCATTTTGAGAGGGACAATATAAACATTCCTCCAGAACCTTAATGTGGATTTCAAGGAAACATCTATCTGGTAAATAATGGCTGTGTTAATTTCCTGTGAGCTGGTACAAGAATATTTTGGAGAGCAGTTAGCTCCCATTCCTGAACTGTCTTCCACTGCCACTCCACATCCTCTAGGACAATGCTTCTCAAGCTATCTGATGTGGGGGACTGGCAATTTTTTCCCCCAATGTGCGCGCAGACCGGCAGCTGATGGCTCGCGGACTGGCACCAGTCTGCGGACCACCGCTTTGAGAAGCACTGGATATACACTGTCAGACTTAAAATATAATCTCCTCCTATGTACTCCTCTGCTACAGTTGACGTGATTTCTCAAGCTTCTTTTTCTTTGGTGCCACAGTGCTAACAAATTGTATCACAGATACATGGATATGGCATTCTGTAGGTCCTATCCTGTTTTGACACTGCTGCTAACAGTGCTGCGACATTCCACCCCAAAATGAGTGTGTTTCATAGCTGGTTGAAGCGATCCCTACATTTAGTTTGTATTTCAGTTTAAGTTTGTAAACAGTTTTAGGACCGTACAGGGCAAAAAAATGTAAATTATGCAGCATATCTTTGTATTGCCTGTCTCAACTCTTCCCCCCCAGTCTATCGATATTATAGCAGGAATCTTTTTCTGTTCTAAATTCAATCTCTCAAAAGTTGTGGGCTTAAAACTATAGCCCACATGCTAACTTTGCTTTCTTTACTCTTTTTCAGTTTAGATATTTTGAGTTTCAAGACAACTTTACACCTTTCTAAAGTCTTGCCACTTGCTTTATGATAACAGTGTGTGAAGCAAAACAAATGAGCGATAATTGTTACTGAAAAAAATGAAAAACACTAAAATGGTAAGTACTTCATTTTTTACACATAAAAAAGTAAAACAGTGGACCTGCTATTTTAGTTATAGAAAGTACATAGCACTTTGGGGAGTACTGAGTATCATGATCTACATTTGCATTCAAAGTACAAAATCTCCATTTTACTATACCTGCCTAAC